CATATAGGTATATTTGAAAACTTATACATACTTACATATAACAATAATTATGTATACAATATTAAAGTAAATATATAAATAAAAAATAATGAATATATATAGAAATATATATGTACATTATAAAATATAATACAAAATATTAAATTAAAAGAGGTTTAGGTTTGAGATGAATCTACCAATTGTTGAAGAAGATGCTCCCGAACTTTAATCTTAAAAGCTAAGCGACTGGACGCCGTCCTGATATCCGTGGGTAGTGCATTCCACAGAATAACAGATTGTATGAAGAAAGAAGAATGAAGAAAATCAGTGCGATGACTGACACACTGTAGATGGCGATTGTTGGAAGAACGAAGATATTTACTGTGGTTTGCACTGGTGTATTGAAAATAGGTGGATAGATAGTTAGGAGAAAAAGGGGATTCAAGAAGAGAGAATAAAGTAGTTAAAGCCCTTTGCTCCCTACGTTGGCGTATGGGTAACCACTTTAATTGCAAGCGCTGTGCAGAAACATGATCATATTTACGAAGATTGAACACGAATCGAATGCAGTTATTCAGAAGTCTGTCTAGTTTGTTGAGGAGATCTGCATTCAGGTCGTAATAACAGACATCACCATAATCAATAATAGGGAAAATTAACGACTGGACAAGCGTTGCCTTCACGAAGGATGGAAGAAAGTTTTTGAGGCGATACAGAGCCCGCAACGACCCAGTAACCCTCTTACAGACACTGGTAACCTGCGGGCGCCAGCTCAAGGTATTATCAATGTGAAGGCCAAGATTCTTGACGTCGCTGGTGCATGGGATGACCGCACCGTCAAACAGAACAGGGGGAAGGGTGCTAGCATTTGTAAAATCAAATCTACAATAAACACCATACTTGCTTTGTACAATTAATTATGTGGTCAACACTTATTGTAACAGGTTATGTGACAGAATTTTGTATTATCCCCAACAAAGAGAACAGTATAATAGTGTCTTAACTGTTCAATCTACAAGCCGAAAGTGGTTCGGCTCTCCACTAACTCCATTATAGACCTTATTTCCGCTGTTTAGAGACTACTTTTGTATGAACAAATTTTAGGGATTTTAGGTTTATACCATATATCAACATATTAATGGTGTAATTAGAAAAATTATGTGTTTGACTCCGAGTTTAATATGCAAAATGTACAAATATACAAAGTGTAAAATGTAACAACCAGATGTATATCATTAGAAAGCTCTTTTCATGACTAATATTTATTAGTATTGAGGCTAGTCTCAATTTGTTGTCGGGAAAATGTTCTTAAACGCTCTATTAACAGATATGGAGTGTAATGTAGGGCCTTCCTCTCAATAGAAATAAGATACCCCTCTCCCTCTATGGATAGGTATTCTTATGCAGATTAAAACTTTGTATTATGACTAAGGTCAATAGTGGTTTCGGAGTTATAGTGTCTTTAAAATGTTTCAGCTTCAGCGCTCAGATTGAAATAACTTTAGGAAGTTGTGCCTCCGAAGATACTAACATTTGACCATAGGTGTATTTGCAACTATTCTTCCATTCAAGAAGCCCTATCCAATGGTGTATCACATGTTATACAGGTATAAGTTTTCAAATATACCCATAGAGTGTTTATTGAATATTATGATTGAGAGATTTGTTGTCACGCCATAACTTAAAAACGGCTAGGCTGATTTGACTGATTTATTTTTGTTGTTTGTTATTGTCAGGAGAAGTTTCTTAAGACAGAAAACGTCCTGAAAATCCTATGGAAACGAAAAAAATGGGATTGCGCTAGTAAATAAATAAAATGCAGCTACTTAGGGCCAGACTCCATACATTTAGTTCACAAGTTTAAGTACCTAACTACATTTTCCCCACAACAAATTGACACTAACCCCCATAATAACAAATGATAGTCATGAAAAGAGTTTTCCAACGACATACGTCTGGTCGTTATAGGTTGGCACCATTTCCCATGCATGTTTGCTCATCATCCTTCAACTGGCATTGGAAAATTCAGCCCCTATTGAAATTTAAATAGTTAATTTTACTTATACTTTCGAAATATCAAAAGAATACATTTCCAACATACTTACATTTAATTAAAATCTAATCTGTGGCATTTTTGTATTTTCCTCTCATGAACTTTGGTAACGGCACTACTCCGGGGCAAGGTATCTGTCCGTACACCTCACAGATGCATGGACGCTCACAACCAATGCCGAAGTTAGCAGGATTGTCCTTCTTTTCAGCAGCTATTGCCTCCTGTTCCAATACTTCTTTTGATTTACCTGTAATTTAATAAATAACATTTTTAACTCGGTTACAAAATGGGTTGAGTGGGCAATTATTGTCGGAATCACTAGCACATGTAGCAGATGGATGGATCCTCATCCATTATTACCGTGGTGAAAAACATGACATGGTGGAGTATAGTAGAAGCCTATAACCCAGCAGTGTGTGAAGTGGGTGACTATAAATTTGATTACACATAACATCACGCCTTTTATCCCCAAAGGGATAGGCAGAGGTACATTATGTCACTGTACAATGTAACACCCACTTTTCACAATTTATGTTATGAGTCCCATGTAATAGGGGGTGAGCCTATTGCCATAATACCGGGCACAATTCCAGACTCCGTGCTTCTACTGAGAATTTATAAAAAACACAGTAATAAGTACTATGCCCACCCCGGGAATCGAACCCGAGACCCCTTGCCCGGCAGTCGCACTTGCAACCACCCGGCCAACGAGGCAGTCATTTTATTTCAATACTTCAAATTGACCTTCCAAGCGTCATAAACAAAGCATATGTTAAGTTAGCGGCAGGTTTGTCTTTATCATGTATCTATTGGTAGTCAAGAACTTAAAGTACTCAGCTTGGAATATAATTATAGTCTCTAGCATTAAGTGTGAATAAGAAAAAACTTTAAACTCACCAACAGTATTAATTAAATGCTCTAAAATCTCTTCTTTAGATTTGTTGTCTACATCAACTAAAATCTTTCTGCCATCTTCAAAATAACATTTTATGAATGGTGATGGAGTCAGGTTCTTCAAGGTAGCTACCTGCACGTCGGGATTTTTATATTGAATCTGTGGCAAATACCAAAATACAAATTCCTTTGCTCCCAAATTGTTTTGTCCATTTATATTGTACGCCACTGAAAATATTTTGATTTTATCCTTCAAAACTAGTCGACCGGCGTTTAAATAGTTTAAAGTACGACGAATAGGTGCTCTTCCTTTCATGAACGGCATTTTGAATTAATATTTTATAGAATATTTTATAAAAATAACCTACACTTAACAAGAGGAACTTAACCTCAAAATCATTGAATTGTGACACTGACACTTTATGACTTTGACAGCAAAAAGCGTTCCATTCTGTCCAGCAATCAAATTCAAACCGAGTTTGTTAATATTTTTGTTTCATTCGATAACAATTATCATGTTATCTAAAAATAGTTTTTATGAAACGGTATAAGAAGACTTAAATCATCGGTGTCATTTTTACTTCTTCTGACTTCCCCAAACATTTTAAGATCAAGTAAGCCAAATCGGTCCAGCCGTTTTTGAATTTTAGCGAGACTAACGAACGAAAATGATTTTTTATTTATATAGATTACATTATGTAGGGACACACTAGTATGCAATTGTTTATATAATACCTACGTATACGATTGTATGTGTGAAGTGTCTAAGTACTTACATTATTCCTTTAACCTAAGCGACTGTGTCCAGTCGATGAAATTATAATATGTACCTAAGAGTTAACACGTTCCTTAGTTATCCGCGTGTCAGTGGCGATAAATTATTATAATCTCATTATACAATGAGATTAAAATAATTTATCGCCACTAGGTCATACACACTAGGTCATACAGACATACGTCTGTATGACCTAGTGTGTGTGAAACAATATATTTTATAGCAGTGCTCAGACTTTCATTGTCATTTCATTTCAGTCTACACATTACATTAACATTTTTTACTTATATTTTTTATATACATTTATTTTATTAAGTAAAAAGGTATGTACATAAATACATACATAGTATGGCTTATTTAATCTAAAGCGCGATGTAAATAGAAGTATTTTTACTTCTTACCAACTTTCTCTGAACCATGAAAACGATTATTGAAATAGATTCAGTCGTTTGCGAAACAACGGTTTCTGAGATTGGGATACATTTTTAAATGTGAGAAGAAAGTATATTTTGCGTTAGGTTGACGAGTTTATAAAATATGTTAAAATTTTTGGTTGTGGGTGTTATCCACTTTAGGTTTTTTAAATACCTTTGTCGCCCACCGCTCCAAGCCCGGCCCGTACAGTTGTCCACATCAAAAAGTATTTATTGAACACCTAGGTCAGCGACGTCTAGGCTAGGTAACAGTCATAGATCACTTTCTACATCAACGTAAGTAATCTGTCAAACAAATCTGTCAACAATTTCAAACTCTGCTAGAAAAATGGTAAATTTCGAGTCCTAGAAAGAATCATGGGATTCGTCCCAAAAAAACATAATACCTAACAGCAAAAGCCAAAATGGTATCTATTTTACAATGCCTTTTAAAATGAGTAGCAAGCTTAAAGCAGTTAAGACCTCATGTACTAAAATAAAGAACCCCTGCAAATACTGCCTTCAACAAGTCACCAATAGGAATGGGTTACAGTGTCAAGGAGCTTGCAAAAAATGGGCCCACTTCAATTGTCTCAACTATACACCGGGAAAAATATCCGACATCAAAGCTGGCATAATTAAAGTGACATGCCCGTGCCCTGATTGCGAAACGACTCAACCCAAAGAGTATTTAGTGAAACCACCTTACACGTGTTCGAATCAGAACTGCCCAGCAAACAGAGGACCAAAGTGTGTCTCAGAAGATTGCCCTTTGAATCCCAAAAAGAAGCCAGAGAGCACATGTGGTAACAAAACTTGTTCCAAGGAACCGGTCAGTTGTCCAGCTGTTGAGTGCCCACAATCTGCAACTCAAGTGCAGAAACGGTCTCATCCTAGATTGCAACCTGCGCGCCCTCCTACACCCCCTCGTAGCGGTTCGAAAAAATCGCCACAATCTAACTCACCATGTCGCTCACCGAAAGTACCTAAGACATGTTCTCCTCCGGCTCCTCCTACGCCGCCGAAACAAAAACCCTGCCCCCCTGAAAAAGTAAAAAAACCTGTGTGCCCGGAGAAACCAAAAAAAAAAGAAAAACCACCGAAGAAGAAACCGGTTGTATCCCCATCTTGCTCAGTACTGTCATCAACTTCAAATTGTAAGTATATAGTGTAAATTGTAAGTAATTTAATTCAATTGGTATCTGGAAACATCAAGGTATAGATACCAATTTCAACCATATATTCTTTTATTATGGTATAAACCGGTAAACGACCAGACAGGCCACCTGATAGTAAGCAATCGCCGCCGACCAAGGACACTCGAAACACCAGAGGAAACATAAGTGCGTTAACGGTCTTTGGGGATTAGGAATTTGAGGATTATTGGGGATTCGGGGATTTTAATTGGGCCTCCGGTAACTTCACGCATAAGACGTAACACAACGCAGGCGTTGTTTCACGTCGGTTTTCTGTGAGGCCGTGGTATCACTCCGGTCGGGCCGGCCCATTCGTGCCGAAGCATGGCTCTCCCACACTAAAATTTTACTAGTATCACCCATTAAGCAATAAGTATCTGTTATACATAGATAGAGATCTATAGAGATACGTGAGGTACTTATGTGGGGTATTCTCCTATCTAATTTTACAACCATATTTTTCACACCCTTTTTCGGCACTTCGATTCTATTTTTCGGAATGTTCTTGACTAATAACTGTGAGTTTTTTTTTAAATACCAGTGTATGTTGGCACAGTTAGAAAGAACTTTCTTTAATATCTACCTTTCAATCCAAATCTCAGACTTTGTCACTGCTGTGCTCTGCTTCATGACATTACCAGACCATAGACCCCTATATAATAAACTAGCTACTTCCGCACGGTTTCACACGGTCTGCTTAGCTCCTATTGGTCGGAGCGTGATCTTTATAACCTATAGCCATCCTCGATAAATACGCTATCCAACACAAAAAGAATTATTCAAATTAAACTTGTAGTTACGGAGATTAGCGTGTTCAAACAAACTCTTCCGCTTTATATAATAGTATAAGATGATACCACACGTGCCGCATATACTCACCTCCTACATTTTTTTACAGGCCCCAAAACAAAATGTTCTTCGTCGGACTCCAACTTGAATCGAAAAACTCAAGCTTCAATGGTGCAAGCCGTGCAAGAGATGTGCAACACTGTTGGAAAGCTTTCAAATCAGTTAAAAGAACTTATGTGTAAAGTGACGCAAAATTGAATCTGATACAATAGGCTCCAATGGTGCAAGCCGTGGAAGCACGAGCAGCTGCCAAGCTTTCTTTGCAATTCTAATGAATTATGTGTAAAATGCATGACGCGGAATTTATAAAAAGTTTAAGTATCTACATGTTAAATCAGATTTAACTTGAAGTTGACTATTACTTGAAGTTTTCTTTTATTTCATCCTAAATAGTTAAATCGGTGAATAAATATAGATTGATAAGTTTATAGATAAACTCCCCTTTAAACTTTGTTGCTACAGACTATAATACTTTATACAAACTTTAATGACCATATTTCTTAGGATGACCAGTCAACCAGTCGCATAGCAGTATCTACAGAAAGACATCAGAATAAAAATAGCTATGGCCACTGACACCTAACCACTTAGGAGCCAAGCTGGCACTTGATGTAATACTGTCTAAACAAATGCATGCATTTCATTGTTTGTGTAATTCGATCAAGCAAATAAGGCATACTAATTAAATAAGGCTCTTTCCCAACCTGCACAGTCAGTCCTGCATAGTCGCAGATGTAATGCTCCTCTCAACTTAATTAATGTGAGAGGGAGGGTCAATCTTAGTACCATTTGAGTGATTCAAAATGCTGCACTGATTCAAGGCTGCGGTATGTGGTGATCTCGCCCAGAACTTAGGCAGGGTATCACCTTAGTAGATCCCGTCTGTAATGGTCTAACGGCAAAGCTATTAAGAAGTGGATACATATTAGTTTTAGGGTGATTTTAAGTCATAAACGATATTTATAATCTTAAGATACATATTAAGCCAATATAATTTTATTTATTTATTTATATTTAAGAACACTTTAAACTAATGCACTGACCAAGGCACAGCTTCCATATGGTAATAATTATATGCTACCTTTTTGTACCTATTGAGAACAATCCAAAGAACCTCAAAGAACAATTGTGTCAATCGATTATGATAAATATTGGTCTATGGCTAACCATAAAAACGTCATGTACCTAGCATCCTCCAAAAAGGTGAAAATATATCAGAGTATCTGACAGACAGTCATAGAAAGAAAAAAACTTAGGCATGTCAACATGAAATTACATTTCCAAAATTCACTATGCCGTCATAAATATAAATATAAATCTTTTCAAAACGCAAGCCTAGGCAGCTAGCCGTCAACCATGGTAACTGTTTTTAAAAGAGGCTCAGTAAGTTTCTGATCACAATGTCAAAATGCAACAAAGTGAAAAACCCATGTAAGATATGCTTAGGACCTGTAACGTGCAAGAACGGCTTACAATGCCATGGTGCCTGCCAGAGTTGGGCGCACTACAAGTGCCTGAATTACACCCCTGGCAAAATCAAGGATATAAAGGCCGGAATCATAAAAGTAACATGTCCCTGCCCAGACTGCAGGACGAGCATGCCAAAAGAATACAGAACGGACACGGCATACAGTTGTAACAATTCTCAATGCCCAGCAAACAGACCACCCAAGTGTGATAATACGCAGTGCCCAATCAATAGCGATCAGAAGTGTGGGCGACCGAAAGTGCCCAGTTGTGCTCTCGGTACATGTGGTAATGAATGCAAGCAGTACAGTAGTAGCCATCAAATGAGTAATGGTGGCTGTCCACCTCCACTGCCGCCGCCGTGCAATCAGTACAGCAGCGCGCCATCTCCGATGTCATCTTCCGACGCCTGCCTATCCTCCGAGAGATGTGCATCTGGCTGCTCGTCTACGAATGATATTCACGGAGACGGTGGTATGTTTCAGGGCAGCACGCCTTCCTTTCATGTTGTCGAACAAATGTGTAACACTGTTGGCCAACTCACGAATCAAATAAATGAACTTATGATGCAGATGAAGGAAGTAGTTAACAGTAATAGGGGGGGTGCGGGCGGTGGTGGGGGTGGGTGTTGTCCACCACCTAAAGCAACTTGTCAACAAAAAGGACCAAAATCGATGTGTCCAAAGCCTTGCTTCTGCCCGGGAAACCCAGCCAGACGAAATTGATAAGATGATTAAATATATGGGTGCTTTACATCCCCTGTCTCTTATCAATTTATTAATAGTTTTTGTCCTCATTACTTGTAAGCAGGTCTGCGTTTTTAATGCAAAGTTAAAGTGTATTATTCGTTTTTTACGTTTAATTCACTGCTCAGGACTTGTTGTGAGCATTTAAGTATAGCGTAGGCCCTCGTTTATTCAATTTTCAATGCTTTATAGAAATATTACATCGTGAAAATAATAAATTATAAAATCTTGCCTTTGTATTTCACTTAATACCTGTACTTTATACATATATACTGGACATAAGCGGCAGTATACTGTGGTGCATTGCTTACAAGATCCAACTTACTTACCAGTAACTTTTTATTAAAGCTCCTGTCCTGCAAATCTATTTAACCCTATGGGTCTACAAGATATTTGTTTAAATGAAAACATTATTTAACCTGTTTTTCAATGGCTTCATACAGTTGTAATGGTAAGATGATTCGAAATCTACTTCAAATCGATTCTTGTAAGTTCTATCTCCGTTAATAAGTTGGTTCAAGTTTTAACATGTAGTATTGTGCAAGTCTGATTGGCAATCCAAGTTGTTTGCAAGTTATGTACCCAGTAATAATGTGCTGAATATTGACTAGGGAATGATAAGTTTTCACCTAGAGCCGTTATTAAGTGGATCAACGTTCAAGGTGTGCTAAATTGATGTAGAATTCGATCTAACTTGATTATTATGACGCCTTTTTGATCTTTGTTTTTCTTCTTGAATGGCGTTTTGTTGACTCTGAGTTCTTTATAATCCCTTTTTTTAATCTTTATTAAATAAGAAGGGCTTTTTTTCAAAGAGGAAAACTTCAGCCCTATTATAGGATACAAAATTCAGTACAAAAAATAAACCAACTAAACCTTTTATAGGTTTAAATAACCATTAAACATAAAACAGTTAAATGATACAATTTTCTAGCCTCAGATGCCAATGGTGACGCTAAAACACTGTGATAAAAACCAATATTAAAGCTCTTAAAACTAAAGACCTGATTTGTATTATATTTTATCTTATACAAAGCTGAAAAGTTTGTTTGATTGTTTGTGTAAACGCGCTAATCTCAGGAATTACTGCTCCGATTTCGAAAATTATTTCTGTAATGGATAGTCCATTTACCTAGTAAGGCTATAAAACATCTCGCTATGATCAATAGATACCGAGCAGAGCGGATGAAATCGCGCAAAAGTAACAAGTAACAGATATAAAATTTTCAGTGTGCTGTTTAAGTGCTACTGCCGGGCAAGGGGTCTCGGGTTCGATTCCTTGATCGGGCAAAGTACGACTGGGTTTTAAAGAAAAATCTCAGCAGTAGCACGGAGTCTGGAATTGTGGTATGTGGCAATAAGCTCACCTCCTATTACATGGGACTCATAACAGAAATAGTAAGTGGGTGTTACATTGTATAGTGGCATTAAGTGCCGTAATGTGTACCTATGCCTACCACTTCGACGATAAAAGGCGTGATGTTATTTTATGTACTGTGTTTACAAGCCTAACCCTGTGCCCTATAACAGTCCAGTCGCTACTCTGTCTACACACAAAAGAAGTTATTCCGGATCTAAATGTGATGTCTACAGGCGTTGCAACTTGGGGGCTCCAGGTCTCCAGTGTTGGTCTACTGAGAAGACCCGATGCCTCCTTCATGTGCAAGTGGTGGTCATAGTAATGGCTACCCACGTAGATATACTAACAAAAGCTATACCAGTTTCGAGTAACAGAGGGACTTTCAATGTCGAATACCGCTACCGCTTACGCTGCTCATGAAGAAGGTTCTCTTTGTGATTCGAAACTAGTAGACCTTCCTTCAATATATTCACGGGATAAAATCGTTAGTTATAGTAGTTAATTCATTGTATATCACGATAGATATTATAAAAAAGGTGTAATGTGTATATGAGATTAGTTGTTTGTTAACTAAGCAACTACGACACAGGCAGTTAATCACAATGTCGCAACATAAAAAAACAAAATCATTATCAACATTTAGCCAACATGGCACAAACGAAATGACAAACAACACAAATGCATAAAGGAAATCACGTAGCAATTTACATATATATAATTTGCGTGTTATGTACCAATCAAACTGTTTACTTTGCCCTGAAATTAAAGTGACATTACGTAAACATGAGAGCAATAGCAGGAGATTGCCTCGTTGGCCGAGTGATCACAAGTGCGACTGCCGGGCAAGGGGTCTCGGGTTCGATTCCCGGGTCGGGCAAAGTATTGGGTTTAAAATAATTCTCAGTAGTAGCACGGGGTCTGGAATTGTGCCCGGTATATGGCAAGGCTCATCCCCTATTACATGGGAGTCATCAAACATAACGCACTTGCGACCACTCGGCCAACAAGGCAGAAGGTTTTAGTAGGTATATCTATTTATTAATTAACCTACTTCCAAAAAAGAGGGGATGTAATCGGTTTATAAAGGTACCTAGTTTATTAAAGAAATATTGTTTATTTTAATAACGTAATTAAATATTTATGTCATCCATTTTTACCCGTTGTGTTATGAGTCGTACGTAACTCCGGGACAAGACTATTGCTGTACACCGGGTATAAATCCGAACTACAAGATGTCCTACGTCGCGGAGAACCTAACGGGTAACCGGGGCTCCGGCTCGACGTGCAGGAGAAGGAACGGGGTGGTTTTTAGTCAGTAAGAGTCTGACACTCCCTCCCGCCTCACCCAGGCGGGAGCAGTAAGTCGATGAATTCCCCCCCTTAAAAAAAAAAATACCTACGTATTAAAGAATACAGTATCTAAGTATGGACAAGAACTATCTCAGTCGAGAACAGCAAGTGTTCGCAACAATAAAATAAAAACTAAACAACTTTGAGTATGAATGACACAAGGGTACGATGTCAAATTACCTATATAAAAACTGCGTTTACAAAACCAACTTCAAATTAACCAAAAACTAATCGTTGAAGAGTTCCCTTAGCAATTACACTTCTTCATTACCAGACCTTTACTGACAGTCCCACTCTATCTAGGTGTAAAACCTCATCAATTTAATCAAGCCCAAACACAAGGTAGTTTTTAGTTAATATAAACCGTTGAGGAGTTCTCCCGACTATCTGTCTGCTACATCATCAGGTCGACTCCAGATCGTTATCAAATTGTAGTGTTTAAAAATCCTAACTGAAAAACATAATAGATGCATTACTCGCCCCTACAATTTTCGGAAGTTCCCCTTGATTTCCCTAGCATTCCATCATCAGATCCTGACCTCATGGAAATGGGACCATCTCGGGAGTATACCCTATCAAACAAAATAAGAATTTTGGAAATCGGTTCACAAATGGCGGAGTAATCGGCGAACAGACAAAAATAAACAATAAGTCGAACATAGTACCTCCTCCTATTTATGAAGTCGGTAAAAATTGAATTAATTGTGTAAATTTTTTATAATGGTAATTATTGTAACTAATATTATATAGAGGTAATATAAATAAGATAGTTTGTTTGTGTGTTACCTCTTTACGCTCGCTTCATCAATCTTCTAAAAATTTTTCAACGACATGTATAATTAGTTTGTTAGTCAGTAGGTAGTACGCAGATAACCTATTTTTTTTTCACTACGTACAAAGCCGCGGGCATAATCTAATATGAAATATTTGTACTAATAAAAATATGCCAAGTTAAAGTTAAGTGATTATGAAATGCAACAATAAGTTGTTTGGTTTTACGGAGCAATTGATTGGACAATGGATAATGATTTTCTGTGGTAGAATAATAAAATATATCAGGTATATTAACATTCATTGTTTATTAAATAGTTACTCCTGGACAATTACATACCTAATACAAAATTATAGATATTATAGATAACGATTTCATTCGTGTTTGTTAACCAGCAGGTCAATAACCCCTCTTTGTCTTTCTATAATGGATTTTAAAATATATTGTTTTTGTATACAATAAAAACTCCAATAAACACGATTGACACATTGCAGTAGATTGTCCTGCTAGCGATTGTACACATTATATTTATTATGTCTGTCTGTACATACTTAATCTCTGAAATAAATTAATAATCTCCAGTCCAGCCCAATGTACGGCCCCGAGCGATCCGCGCGCCTCAAGGAGCTATCAGACCACCACAGATGGGGCTCAATAGGGCTGACCTACGAAAGACTTAACGGGTTTTCGGAGCTCCGACTCGAAGTGCAGGAGCACGAAAAAGGTGATTTTTAGTCAGTAAGAGTCTGACACTACCTCTCGCCTCACCCGGGTGGGAGAAGGCATTGGATGATTTTCTCCCTCAAAAAAAAAACTATGCATGGCGATACGATAACCTCTTCTACAATTCACTCTTTGCTAATGCAAAATGTTAAGGATTACCTTAACATTGTCACATTTATACTCAAAGATTCATTGAAAGATATTGAACGTTTTCTCGATATTATATTTTTTGTTCGTCGGAGCATCGAACAATCTTGAGAACCGCGCCGTATCGAACTTCATCTCTTACTTGTATCGATTTTAATGAACATTGGTATCTTATTGAGATGGATAAGTTCTTGCGGAGTATTAATATATTATAGGTACTAAAACTCTTTTCAGAACTTTGCGGAGACTGTGTGGTGATGATAGTGTAGAACACATTTGAGAATTTTAAAATTATAGTTATAGTTAGCAATATGCATCATATTTAGATAGAGAAAAAAAAATAAATGAAACAAAAAAATAACAACAAAATCATAAAATAACATTCAAAACGGCAGCAAAATAAAAGTAATTAAATTTTCATTTTTACATACATCAGTAGAAACGTGAACTGGGTTAAATTCCATACTATCATTCACTTTTTTACAATACTATTGCTTAGTCAGTTTAAAGCGAAGAGTAGGTCAAACTGTTTACATTGCGTAACTGTAGGTACTATCAATAAAGGATGGTCAAATGGCCATGTACTTAGATACTTTCGAAGATTATTTAGACACCACTTACAAACGGTGAAGAAAAACATTGGACTGAAACCCTTTTTTCAAGAGAAAATTATCCAATGACTTCTCCAGCTTGGGCGAGGCGAGAGGGAGTGTCAGACTCCCTGTGTGAGAAGAGGCGGCATGGCACATTTGGTGCGGTGGCTGGGCTGCCGTGGGTTCGATTCCCGCACGGAGCAACTGTTTGTGTGATCGACAAATTGTTGTTTCTGGTCTGGGTGTCATGTGTATGTGAACTTGTATGTTTGTAAATTGCACACACGATACAGGAGAAAATCCTAGTGTAGGGTAACATTTTTTTAAAAAAATAAAATGAGGCCTTTACTCAGCAGTGGCCACTTATCGATAGGCGGTGAAATTGTGATGTGTAGCCTACATTGTGGAGACTCATAGGCACCTAGTCCAACAGTCGACTATCGCTAGAGCTAATAATAAGACTAGTGAACAGCGTATAAATTATCTAAATATACATAATATCACGCATTTTATCCCCGAAGGGATATACAGAAGTACATATCACGGAACTCAATGCCACTGTAACCATCACACAACACACCCCTTCGGGGATAAAAGGCGTGATGTTATGTGTGTTTTTTACTTTTTACGGAAAATCACGAACGAAACTAGTTAATTATAAACAGTTTATACAAACAGGTAATGACAGTTCGCAGATTTTAAAGTCAAATCTCGGTTAGTAGGTCATTCACCTGATCCTTTATTTAACTGTCTTTATATTAGTCTGCATTAGGTACTTTTATGACTGTGATTAGCATTATCAAATAAGTAGGTAGTATAAAGATTCTAGAGAACAATAAAAAAAATAATTTGAAACCTAGTTTTTTAACCGACGAGTCATCATCGACAATAAGGAATTCACTACTAGACAATGAGCCTCCGCTGCATGGGGAACTTTGCCATCGCCTTCACGCTAGTAGGTTGGAGACTGAAATTCAAAAGATTCAGATTCATCAGTTTGTTTTCTAGAAATCTATGGCACACTAGAATTTTCTTCTGTGTCGTGGGTGCGTTTACAAACATACAAGTTCATATATACATCACATCCAGACCCAGAACAATAATTTGTGGATCACACAAACAGTTGCTCCGTGCGGAAATCGAACCCGCGACACGTAGCGCGGTAGCCGTACGCCCAGGAGCGCACCGGGGGGACGGACAAATGGGGGAAAACGTGGACAAATCCAGCAGTGTACTGTTGTTAATATTGATTATGTATATGTTGTCTATCAGTCATTTATGGCTGTTTTCACCACACCCCCCTAAACAATCTCTTAACAAGATTAGGGAGCTCCTAAAGTTTAGGTTCTCCCTAGTTTAGGTCCTAAATTAACCCCTTAACTTTGTCGTTAAGTGTTACTAATATGTTGGCGAAAACCACTAACTATCCCCTAAAATTTTAAAATCGTTGATGGAAAGAGACATTGCTTATTTAGTAATAGGAGAATTTTAATTGGAATAATAATTTGCATATTATGTAATTGTGATACAAAATGGTACTCAAATTGTAGTACTTCTAATAACAATCTGGTAATGGTACTTTAGTTTAAGTGCAATAAATACAATTGTTTATGTAATCAGCAAATACGTACAACTTGAGATTAACAGAATAATTATGTACCTAATTTTACATACATAACAGCTCGCCTTTTATCCCCAAAGTGGTAGGCAGAGGTGCACATTAAGGCACTTAATGCCACTGCACAACGTAACACCCACTTTTCACTATTCATGTTATGAGTCCCATGTAACAGGGGGCTACTGCCATATACCGGGTACATTTCCACACATCGTGCTATTACTGTGAAAATTTAAAAACCTAGTAATACTTTGCCTAACGCGGGAATCAAACCCAAGACGAAGAAGAGACAGGCAAATATATGTACTTAATTAAAGTACCACTATACAGCTTCCTTTTGGACATGTAAAGAAAGAAAGAGAGAGACAGAAGATCCGTTTATTACGCCGCGACACATGCAGACAACAATGCAAGAAGACACAAAAACATGACGTTACGGGAAGCCCAATTACCCCCCCGCCCCCCCTAGCCAATCTTCCCAATCCCCGAATCCCCAACACTACTCAAATTCCTAATGTCCAAAAGGCCGGTAACGCACTTGTAACGCCTCTGGTGTTCCAGGTATCAATGGACGCCGGTTGTTTAACATCGGGTCAACTGTCTACTCGTTTACCGGCCTGCATACCATAAAAAAAAGTATGTAAGCGCAATAGTAGCATTTGGCGTTCCATAGTCTCTGTCTACCTCTCCATGGAAGAGAGGCGTTAAGATATGTCTGTATATATGTACATACGTTTGTCAGCGTCCTTCCATTATTGTGATAATTTCAAAATCCAGGTACATACTGGTAAAGGTATCAGGAGCTGCGGACAATCTAACGGGTTAATGGGGTTTCGGCTCAAAGCTGGAGAAGGAACGGGATGGTTTTTAGTCAGTAAGAGTCTGACACTCTCTCTCGCCTCACTCAAGATGGAAGAACGCATTGGATGATATTCCCCCCCAAAAAAAATTAATAATGGTAAACATCACAAGTGATGACAAACTTATTCATTATTTTTGGTGCAGTCGTTTAAGAGTAATGGACACACAAACATTTGGTCATTTCAATTAAATTACAATTCTAAATTGTTTCATAATTACACATTCGTCGGAATGTACGAATTCCAAACCTTTGATTATAATTATTTATACAGTTTGCTTTTAGTCAAATTGGCGATACAGTACCAATTTATCAAGATCTCGCTTTATATGACCTTTCCTTACATTTGACGGTCAGGTTATAATGGTTATATTAGCTTTATGTAGCTAATAAATAACCAGTTTAACTATGGTCTCGCTTTATATGACCTTTCCGCGCGTGCAACGGTCAGCTTATACTGGTTATCATAGCTTAATATTGTAGTCGTAACCTACAGAATTCATTGTTAACATTGACCATCAGTCCATGGCCTTTTAACTTAAAACCATGGTCAATGGTGTTCACGAATCTGTAGAGCGAACCTAAAAAGAACATAAACAATAAATTTGTTGATTATATCGCCTTTTCGCGTCCACCCTACTAAAATACGCCTGTTCGCGTCCATCCTACTAAAATTTGCCTATTCGCGTCTATTTTACGAATCGTCATGAATGTGAGATACCTCCTTAATACGTGAAAAGGTTAAACAAATGTGTAATTTCCCTACTGATGTCGATGCGGACGAACTTATCGATGTAAATACTTAGTTGTTTTTAGTTTTATTTTTATTAATTTTTATCTTAAGTTAATAAGTGTTAGTAATAAATAGTTAGTACTTATTTATTTTACTTCAGTTTTTATTATCTGTAAATAAAAAAATCAAATGTGTACTAAGTACTACTTAGGTATATTATGAGTCTACTTTGGTATACTTAGGTATATGTTATGGTGATAATTTTATAATTTTTGTGGATTTTTAAACAGTGTTCCGTAGCATGGTCACGAGCTGGTAGGTGGACGGGAACAGGCGAATCCGTCCTCTTTCTGCTTTAAAAGTTAAAATGCTGGTTTTTAAGTAGTCACAAATAATTCATTACATGAAAGGTAATGGTGATAAGGATCAAACTGAGGATTTTGGGATCGGTTTCTGGTTCGTGTTTCTCAAGTGTGTTGATTACGAATTCGTGGTATTTCCACGAATTTGTTAATTGTTAGACCGTATATTGTATTTCGAGGTAGGTATTGTCCCTAATATCTACCTTATTGTTGTGCGTTCCGCGCGTGCCTCAAAGAGCCATCAGACCACCACGGATGGGACCCAACAGGGCTGATGCCGATTCGGAGTCGCGGAGAACCTAACGGGTTACCGAGATTTCAGCTCGAAGCGCATGAGAAGGAACGGGGTGGTTTTTAGTCAGTAAGAGTCTGACACTCCCTCCCGCCCCACCCAGGCGGGAACAGTCATTCGATGATTTACCCCCCTTAAAAAAATTGTAGATAATTACATATACGTGATGATATATGGAACAGGGGTAGATTATGATTTAACACATAGGCTATTTTTACCGACTTCAATCGCGTATGTGCCGACTTCTAACCAATCAATAAGTGGGTAACCTATCAGTAGTAACCTTTTTGGTTTTTAGTATTCACTTTTTGTGTTTTTTTAGTTTTTTTTATGGGTTAAGCCGATAAACGAACAGACGGATCACCTGATGGTAAGCAATCGGCGTCGCCCATAAAAACCTGGAACACCAGAGGTGTTACAAGTGCGTTACCGGCCTTTCGGGATTAGGAATTTGAGGATTGTTAGGGATTAAGGGATAGTTTAATTGAGCCTCCGGTAACCTAACACTACGAAGTAGTTTTGGCTTTTTTGAAGTCGATTTTTTAATTAATTCCACGGGACCGCGAGTGAAGAAGCTAATAGAAGCGAGCATTTCCTTTGTTTCTCCTTTTCCTTGTCTATGGTCCACAGATAATATTAGATATTAAGTATTCTATGATTTCAGTAAAATAATAAGTCAGTCTATGGACCATGGACAAGACTTCATTTTTCATTTTTTAGCTTTTATTTAAATTTTTTTATCTTTATTTTTTATTTATGTTATGTGTGTACCGCGCAAAAATAAATGGCTTTTGTTTCTTTCTTTCTTATTTCATAAACTAGGAAAAAGGCACGATAAACCATTTAATTAATTTCCCAATGATGCATAGAAACTGTCAAGAGACGAGTGTTGAGTACCTTATTTCCCCCTCTCGAACATAACAAGTTTGCCGTGCACGGCGTACGCGCAGTTCGCTAGTCAATTTCGTAATAGAAACACGGCGACTGTATTAAATTTAAAGCCGATGATCGAAGTGTTTAAAAATGTTAAATAAGATATTTTCTAATCCAATTATAAGGCAATATGCTGTTGTGATCACGGGTATGTGTTTTTTTTTGTTAAATGTTTAATTTTGTTTCGTGTTTTTTATTTGTTTTTTTTATGTGTTTTTTGTTGACATCTGTTAAGGTATGTGATTTCGTTATGCAATTATGTGGTGTTTTGTGTTGTTTGGTAAATAGAAATTTTGTTGTTTCAATAGACTTCAAGTTTGAGTGCTTATATGTTTTATGTCGTGGATTAGGAAAAAATCTTGAATGTAAAGTAGGTACCTCCTATGCTTTAAAGTTGTTCTTGACATTTAATTAGAAGTTAACAAAATTCCTAGCGATTATTGAGTTTAACGCCTTGGTGAGATATTTAAGAATAGTTTATGTAGGTATTATTTATATACTAGTAGCGAACTGCCCGGGATCGCACGGGTGCAATGCATGTATTATACTACATATAAACCTTCCTAAAAAATCAATTTATCTATTGAAAAAGGCATCAAAATCCGTTGCATAATTTTAAACATCTAAGCATACATAGGGACAGTCAGAAGCCGGATATCGACTTTGTTTTATATTATGTAGTGATAAATAAATATCGTACTAGATGTTCTACCACAAATAGTCACTTGCATACTCCTCAGGGATCAGACTTATCTGGTTTTTTATAATGAGGGTTCCGAAACTTGTCTATTAGACCTGGTGTCCTCTTATAAGTCACGATATGGAGGCCCCAAGGAGGTTTTAGCCAAATGGAAACTCTAGTCTTTCCTTAAAAGACCAGAAAGGTTTTAGTAAATCCCACACTACGTAGTCTATATAGCTATGCGCATTTTGAAAACTATGTGATACTGGTTATACTACCGCGCGGTTTTATTCACCCGCTCTGATCGGCCCCTGTTAATCGTAGCGTGATGATTTATAGCCTATAGTCTTCCTTGATAAATGGACAAAACTATAAGAATTATTATTCACTTCGAACCGGATTCCTGAGATATGCGCGTTCAAACGAAATAGATTCTTCTGTTAGTATAGAAAACTTATAATCGCATTTAGTGAGGAAATTGTGTTGACATAAAATGAAGTTTTTATCCCCGAAGGCGAAGGCAGAGGTGCTCATTACGGAACTTAATGCTACTGTACAATGCAACTAGGGTTGCCACCCGTACTTTATAATAAAGTATTGTACGTTATTTAAGGTAATTGTACTCTATACTTTATAAGAATAATAAAGTACACGAAAATACTTTATTTTTGCAAACTTCATTTCTATTAAAGTCGTAAGTATTTTTCGGTAAACTTATCGATTCCATATCGATATTTATCGATTTATGTTGAATCGATTTCGCCACTCGCCAGCGCCTCTTAGACAATTTCTAGTAAAGATGCAATTGTTTAGTAAAGATACAAATTTAATACAAACTGCAAAAAGCAATAAAAATATTTTTTTAAATAGAATATTCTAAATAAGAATAAATTGTACTTTATTTTTGTACTATGTACTTTTTTTTTACTTACCTATAATCGTTAATGTAAATACCAAAATAAAAGGTGGCAACCCTAAATGCAACACCCATTTTTCACTATTTATGTTATGCGTCTGTTAGGTATAATGTTATGTTAGGTATGTCTCAAAATTGAACCTATTCACAGCCGACACACAAACATTACTACAATCATTAATAGTATTAGAGAAGGTCAAACGTACGATATGATGTACTTAAAACTGTGTACCTACGTGACTGACTATGGATGTAACTATATGGAAGGAAAAAACTAACACATATAGACATAATGTAGGTCTGTGTGTATGTATCTTAACCAATATTTAACACTTCTCTCTTGTAGATTTTTCACTTACAGGTAAAACATAAGTACAAAATTGAAGTAAAATAAGGTAAAACCTAATTCCTATTGGAATTTCTTCCTATAGACGCGTAGTAGGAACAGGCATTATCTATATATACGTTTATTAAAATTGTAAAAAAGTCAAAACTGTATATTTTATATTTTCTTTAAAGAATACTTGGGGCGTGGTGATTTATTATCGATACTGAAGCCAAATATAATTATAGTTCTTGGAATTTTTGTCCATTTGTCTGTCCGGGATAATCTCAAAAAGTATTGCATGGATTTACTTCAATTTTTGCATAAACATTACTAACAAGTCGGGTCAACATATAGGCTAAAAATTATCACGCAATAATCTACGGAGGAGAAGCCATACTGGGTACTGAATCAATTCTGACGACATTCGTTACCGTAGAATATCCCTTGATAAAGACTAATTCGAAACCCTAAATTCTGCCAGAAGTCATTATTCTACGCGGACAAAGTCGCAGGCAACAGTTAATAACAAAATAAAATGAATTTTATTTGTTTTTTTCCATTCCATAGAAGTTCAATAAAATTAAAATTTCACACTTTTTTTATTTATGGATCCATTGTTAATGGGATACGTAGGTATACTGGATACTAAAAAAATATAATAACACTGTTCTCGACACGATAATCGAACCCAATACCTATTTAGACCAAGATTCATGCTTGCAATCATTCTACCAATAAAAAAAAACTTTTGTTGAACTAGAAAATCGTACCCAATCCCTTTACACTGAATATTTTTATTCCCACCACTGGAGTACGGAACCAATGAACTGATTCATAATGAGGTTACATACATTTTAATGTATAAAGTCATTTAACATGATGACTATAACTTGGTACACATCACGTGTTAAGATAATCAAAAGCCTTGATAAAATAAATAGCTCAAAAAACCATTCATACTCTAAACCAATCGGTCGAATGACCTCTAAAGTAAATATGTATGAACCATCTATTTCACACACATACATAAACCTATTATGTATCTTCAATCATAATAGTTACTAAGGATGTTTAACTTTACCACTCTTGTAATAGAATTGAAAATCTATTAACGGTATTAGGGAAGTATGATGTGCTTGTGTCTGTATAATAATAATGATAGTCTACTGCTAGACCATTGTACCGTCGCGGAGAACCTAACGGGTAACCGGGTTCCGACTCGACGTGCAGGAGAAGGAACGGGGTGGTTTTAGTCAATAAGAGTCTAACACTCCCTCCCGCCTCACCCAGGCGGGAGCAGTCATTTGATGATTTTGCCCCCTTAAAAAAAAGAGCATTGTACTCCTCTACATAAGAGGAATTGCAACACTGAGGAAATGGATAGAAGATTGTAGTTCTTTTTTATATTTGATGGGCCGACGTTTGACCACTATCTCGCCTGGTAAACGATGATGCGGTCTACGATGGAGCACGTCGTCCCATAAGTAATCTATTCACTCGGGCCTTGAAGACACCCAGGTTATATATACCCTTCAGGAAATACAGATTCTGGCAAACAATTCCACTCGTTAGCAGGACGCTTGATGTGAAGCGCTTTGTGCGTGCGTGTGGGTGGGACATCTACCATGAAGGTAAAAGGTATAAAAGGTTCAAATAAATAACGTAGTGTAACCTTTACGACCTAAATTATGTACCTTATACATAACTTCACGCCTTTTATACCCGAAGGGGTAGGCAGAGGTGCACATTACGGCGCTTAAGCCACTGTACAATGTTACACCCACATTTCACTATTTTATGCTATGAGTCCCATGTGATAGGAGGTGAGCCTAATGCCGTATTAAAATTACTTACCTTACAACCGATTTTAAACTGGAAGTCTGGATCAATCTCGATCAAAATCGGTTTTTGATAGAATCTTCATATAAAATACGGCCAAAAACAATAATCTAAAATATTATTGCTTTACTTTTCTTTAATAATAAGCAAATAATATGAATAATTATGTACAATTACTATAAACTAAAACAGTGAATAAGAAAAAAAAAATAATAACCTTAAAATTCTATAAGTAGATATTATAACTAACTTCTAAACGGTCTCAAATCAAAATCTGCGAACAAGGATTAATTTTTGATATTACTTGCTTGGAGTTTTTGTTACAAAATTTAGATCGACTCTGTAAATTCGGATCGGTTATTCATTTCAGCCGCCTGCCAGTTCTAACTACACCGCTAGAAAAGTATGAGTGGTAACAATGATATTCTACCCTAATATTACCATAACTACGGCCTGTGGCAGAAGACTTAACTATCGAGTAAGATAGTACTAAAAAACAAATAGCAACATCAACAACCTATAACTGGCCACTGTTAACCAAAGGCCTCTTTCTTACGGAGAAGTTTTGAGCATCATCACCATGGTTGGAGGTGGATCACTTTGTTGCCCAATTTTTTACTGGCCACGGTAACTTTAAAAGCAAATTGTTCTCATTTAAACTTATTGATTCACCATGGTGCCAATGTTCGACAGAGGATTTGCAATACGAGCAGTCGGCCCATCACATACTCTGGGAGTGTGATCTCTGGCAATATGAACGTAACACTATGTTAAATAATTTAATTGTTTCGTCAGGTGTAGCTTATTATACGGACCTTGTGGAATCCAGAATAGTTTTTGCCATACCTATTATTGGAAGCAAGTATAACAGCTCACACATAGGACCCACTTAGTTTTCAGTCAAATTTCCGTGGTGCTTGGCGACTGGGCTTCACCCAGTTGTACAGTTCTTTTCTTCTTTGTGCCTTTAGGCTTAATTCATTCTGTCTCCTGCAGTAATTCACCGAGGGAAGTGGAAACCAGTAGTTTTTTCTTCTTCTTATAATATCTTCTGATTCACTTCGTTGCGGGAACCAAGACAGTTACTCATGTCCCTGGGACGCGCCGGACTTCAGTGTTCTGGTGTTTTCATGGTTGTATCTACTGTAGATCCTGGCTTACAGGAGTTGCAGCGGTTTTGGGAGGATGTGGCGGGCTTGTCCCATTAAAAAAAAATCTTAGAAAGTACATACAACTCGGAAAAAGCCACACTCTCATGCATAAGAGTCTTAAACCTCCAGGCTACCACGATACATTTTGTACTACATTAAAGTATTAAAGTAGCTCATTGCCTACGTCTAAAGTGACAAATTAAATGCATAGCACAATTTTTGCCAATGCCAT